CATTTGTGGTGTCCTCCTACGTGGGGCTGCCACTCAGTGATGATGACCACTCAAGGCGACGACGCTTGGCAGCAGCAACAACAAGAGGACGCTGCCGCTTTACGGAAACAGTTTCCAGATGATGATCTAGAATGGGATGGTACTCATCCGGGCCTATTTTGAATCTTACCATCCTCGACCTAAGATACGCATCAACTAGGTGAGTCGCATCTAGCCCGGCAAGGGTCACGATACGTGATCTCTCCAGAAAACACCAAGAGGATCACTTGGGACTGCTTTCTTATGTCATTCATCTTATACGAAGTAAGCTCACTCAGTGTTGGAATGTATCCTCTCAGGAGTTCCCAGAGTTATGGTATGAAACCAACAAAAATTTTCCAAAAATTCCTCAGAAGTTCCTCATTCGTATCAACACACAGAGATAGCTCTAGACAGTATCTCAGTCGAGCTTCTTCATATGATGACGCTTATCGAGCTAATATGCATCGAAAGTCGCGATCACGAGGATTCCGAAAAATGCTGTTGAGTCGAGACCTCAAATACTGCATTTACACTTGCTGAATCGCAACTAACTTGAGAAAAACGATTTCATTCTGGCCTTGTCTTGACAGTTGTATCTTTCTGACGTCTCTGCTGCGACAGTTTACTCTCATGGGGCTATGACTATGTTTTTATATATCTCAGTCAACTATGATTCCCTACCGCCTATGCTTCGACCGAGATGCCACCGGAGTCCTCGAAATTCTCGAGAACTCCCTCGACATTTTTTTCATGCTAGACGTAGTCCTCAATTTCTTCACTGGCGTCTATGTAGGCGGCCAACTGGTGAGCAACACCATCTTCATACCATCTTTTTTTCAATTCCCGTCCCAGGTTATGACCTTGGAAGGAATCGCCCCGCACTACCTGAGGACATGGTTTTGCGTAGATGTGGTGGCCTCCTTCCCTTACGAGTGGATATTCAAAGCCTCTACTCTCGAGGGCGTACAGCTCCTTCGAGTCGTCAAATTTGCTCGGCTCTTGAGGGTTATACGTCTTTTACGAGTGCTGAAACTAAAACGGATAATTTCGAAGGTCTCTCATCGTGGTTCCTATGCGGACATCATTCATATCATCCTCTCAGGTTGAAGAGTATATCAACTCCGAAGTGTTATCAATGCTATTACAACTGCTCCGCCTAGTAACTCTAGTGGTTTTCATCGCGCATTGGGTAGCCTGCATCTGGTACGCCTTAGCCGACACCGAGCCAAACACTGACTTTACATGGCTCGATCGGTTCGACTATAGGGATGCGCCGGCTGGGGATAAGTACATCGCTGCTATGTAT